GCCCCGCGCGCGGCTCGCCCCGCTCTGGCTCGCGCCCAGGAGGCTCCGCAGGGGCGGCCGGCGCTGCTCTCCCCGCCTCCGGGGCAGCGGCCCCGCCATGGCGGGCCGGGCCTGCGGCCAGCGCTTACCCATAACCTGCACGCGGCAAATGGCGCAGGTGTCGCACTCCACGTCCCAGCTCCACATGGCCACCGCGTTCCACTTTTTCAGCGAGAACATCTTGTCGGCGCCGCCCGCCTTGGAGCCCGCCGAGGCCGCGTGCGTGTGGGGGGCGCCGGGCTCGTCCCCGTCCTCCACATCGGCCATGGCGGAGGGGCGGCCCCTCGCGCCGCCGCGCGGGCACGCGGCGCCGCCCCGCGGCCACCGCCGGCAGCGCCGCGCGGGAGGCGCGCGCCACGCGGCCCGGCCTCTGAGGCGCGGCCGGGCGCCAAAAAACCCACACACAAAAAACAACGTGGAGGGGAAAAAGACTAAAAAGTATTCAGCATACAGCAACTCATGAGAACCGTGAAGCACTACAACTGAAAACCCGAGGGAATTTTAACACAGCTGCTGCCATTTGAGAAGCACAGCACTGCCATTTCTGCACCTGAAACTACTAACACACCTGTCCAGCTCTGAGTCTCCATGACCACTTCAGAGCGTGGAGAAATGAGCGAGTAACACATATAGGTATTAATACCTAAATAAATAAAAAGTTCCTTTCCTAAACAAACCAAACAGTTCTAGCTGGAAATGGACGGAAGAAGAGACACAGAGCAGGAGAGGAGACACTGCTTTCACTGAAGAGGATGACAAAAGAATTTATAATTTTAAAAATGGGATAGCTTCTAATTACTTATGTCCTGATGAGCCCGCTCTCACCTTGTCTACTCACACAAATAAACCAGCACATGTTCTCACTGAACATGTGTCTGAGTCTCAGAATTTACGTGAGCACTAGAAGACTTGAGAGGAAAGAAGATTCGGGTACCTTTAACATTGTGTATCTTGTATTAGAGGTGTAATTATTAGCTGGAAAAAAAAACCCACTATTTTCCTTGCTATTTTATGACCTAAAGTGCTTTAAAAAAAATCCAAGCAAAACTGGATTATTTTTTCCTGGTGCTCTACAACTCATTTGTTCCCTACAGACTCCCATTGCACACATAACATTGAAAAGAGGGCTACAGAGCAGTATCAGCAACTTTTCTCTACATATTTTTCCTCCCACTGGATTTATATATGCATAGAAATTCACTATTTCAGACCAAGAATACAACTATATCTCCTCATTCCATTTGGACTCTACTGTTTGGAAAATGTCCAAACTTGAATACATAAATATAGGAGCCAAGTTTTTCAGTCAATTAAATGATGGTTCAGCTAGCACAGCTGCTCAGTGCACACTATAAAATAGGGAAAAATATAATAGCAGATATCCATATTTAGAATTTCTGATTTTAAGTCCCATGTGAAAGAATACTCTTCCAAGACTCTCAAGTGTTTGACAGCCTTCTTCAAAACGGAGAAAATTTGCACCGTTACCTAATAGCTGCTTTCTTTTTATACTTTTAAGCCCAATGCAAAGGAATATAGAGATACATCTTTACCTTTTTAAGAATATTTTCATTTTCTATACATCTTTTCAAACCGTGATTATAGCACTGACGGTGGTTTGGGAGAATGTAGAATGCTTTCCACCGATTTTTTTCATGAGACTTGCAAGAATGAAGAGCTCTAGCTATGACCTGTTTGTGTTTTCCTCTCTCTCTCTCTCTCTGCCTCCCTCCTTTCTTGTACAACTTTTTGAGACTTTTGTTGTTTTTTCCACAGCTTGCTTTCTCTGAAACATAGAATCCAACATTATTTTTACTAATAACAAAATTGTGATGGAAACGTTGATTTTATGATAATGCAAAGAACAGTTATGTAAGTGTGTATCTTGGCCAACTAATGCACATACTGAGTTTTATTATTACACTTATTGTTTACTCTGTCAATAGATAACATATATCAGAACATTTGAGTACTGTGTCAAATCAATAAATTTGCCAAAGAAAAGAATACAGAGTCATTTAAAAATGTAGATAATGTTTGTCAGCACAGTTCCATGCCAAAACTATTTCTTAAACTCTAGATCATCTCTGCCTCTCCATGCTGTTTTACCAGTAGGAAGATACTCAACAAGGCTTTCAATGGCCAGTATTAACCAAACAGTCCTGCTTAAAGCCAAGACCTCAGCAGAGGCAGATATAGTAGGCCTGTTAAAGAGGACAACAGTGGAAGGAGTAAGTACAGCAGCAACTATGGCAATTCTTAGGCTTTTATCAAACCTGCCTGATGCAATTGCGAAAATGGAAAATAGACTTCAACATTAATAGCTACAAATTTTGCATTCGGAAATAAAAAAACAGGCCAACACAAACGTTTTGGAAACAATATTGTGTCTTCTATACTGAAGAGTAACACTTTTATACTGAGGAGACCTCTGTAGAGGAAAGATCAGAGTGAAAAAAACCACAGAAATATACTAGATATACTAATGTTACCTAGAACACTGAACAAGTTAAAACGCACACATCCCTACCATTTTCTCTGTGCTGCAGCATATATGCGATTATGATGTGACAGTCAGACATGCAAGCGAGTGCAAAGATAGAGAAGCAATAATAAATCAGATTCTGAAATGATTTGTATTACATTCAGCATAACAAGTATCACTGGACCTAACATACAGAAGGGAATGTCTTTTTTAAAAAGTTTTATGAAAAATAGCTTACCATATAGCTTGCTTAGATTTGTGCCTTTTCAAGTTTTCTACTAGAAGTCTTGATTTGCTACTGAGAGTTGATGCTTATTGACCTGATTTTTTACTCTGTACACATACTCCTTCCAAAACATATTGAATCAGTCCTTACTATATGTAAATGTGTTTGCATATTTTATACTTTAAAATACAGAAATGAAAGATGTCTTGTAAAATTTTCCATATGTTATTGCTTCTATTGACTATACATAGCCTATTAAGAGACTAGATCAGTAGACACACACACACAACGTTATTTTCTCACCACCACTATAGTTATCTGCATGTAGTATGGAAGGGACTCTTTAAAAAAAAAAAAAAAGAGCCCAATAATAGAGATGTATGTATGAGAAATTCATACATGACCTTTGAAAAAAATTAAGGGTTCTCAGAATTACTTTTGAGTTACTTAGGCAGTACTTATCTATGGGTAGCCCAAAAAAAACAACCTGCAAAGAAGCTACAGACTTTTTATGCTAATGCTCTTTGATGTCACAATTTAGGAAAAAAACTTACAATAACTAAATGGTTAGAGAAGATGGCGTATTTATGAAAAGATTAGATCATTCTGCTGTAATGATCACAGAATCCTTAATAAGATCTACACAGAGAACCTCCTGTTATTGTTAATTTCATCTTTATTTTTCCTCTTTCTGAATCTCTGCCTATGAATAACCAGACTGGCCCATACAAGAGCTTACCTCAGAATCAATCAAAATTAACTCCAACTCGCATTGTAACTCCTGCTAAAGAACTCCCATGCTTATTTTTCTGTACAAGGAAAGAAAACATCTTAAGACACTGATACATGTTTCTATATACAATTTTCCAATTAAATAAATCCCATAAACAGAGGAGTGAGAGCAGATGACAGAAAAAGACCAAAAAAGATACCTCAACTTCATTTTATGCTTTTTCTGTCAAATGGATGCAACTTGTTATCTTAAACTACAGTATGTAAATCCCTATTTAATTCAGTCGTTGAATAACCGTAACCTAAAAAGTCAGGTCATACAGCAAATAGACAACAGATCAAGTTTGTTGTAAATTTATTGGTGAGTTATTCTCAAGTAATGTTACAAAACATTTTGATAAGAAAATAAAATTTAAATAAAAATACATTCAACAATACATCATCATAATACAAATTAAAACTAATGGTAATTTACAATCCAAATAGATCTAATTACTGAATGTCTTTCTAGACTAATCAAAATGAAGGCAACTTTTATTATTTATCATCCTATTTGTACCTAATTCAGGTCTAGAACATCTACTGCCTTTAAAAATTTTAAATGAGATATTAAATCTTAATGATCACAAATATTAAATGGCCTTTTTCCCCCTAGATATTTCAGTACCAAAACAAATAAAAGTGCATAAATTTTTACAAAATGTTGCAATAGCACACAATTTAATTTGTCATTGAAAACAACAGAAGATGGCTCCAAGGAACCATTTTGCAACAGGACTGGCCAATACACCACAAAATTTAACTCCAACACTCAAATAATGTTCAACTTTAACGGCAGCTTTTTAATGGCAATTCATCAGATCTTACTGACTTTGGCAAAAACACATTTCTTGGCATTAATAATTTCCTCCCCCTCCACCCACTCATCCCCCCAATTTCAAGTGAAGTCAATTAAAAGTCCCTCAGAATACAAATATATATATATATATAAAAGCAAAACTAATTGCAGGTGATTAAATGATTGTGACAATGCAGATACTGGATCTAAATTCCAGATATTGTCTAATAGTTCTTCTAGATTTAAAGACAAACAATCATTTTTACAATAGTTTACATTCATTTCAAAAAATATTTCAACCTTGCCTTGCCAATTGGATTATATTTCTGTAGAAAGCCTTACAGTATTGCAAATGTATAGTACATTAGAGTTTTCAAGCATTGTGAATTTCCAATCTTTCTAATGATAAGTTACATTCCTAATTGGGCAAACCATGATTGTTAAAAAAAACACCCACAAAGATCCCACAGTAAATGTTTCAAAAATAAAAGTACCACATATAGACAGTTATTATTAAAAAACGATAACCTAAGGAGTACCATTGTATTTAATACTGCTGAAGCAAGGTTGCCACAGTAATACCTTTGCTTCTTCCTGCTTCTATACATATACATTCTTTCAACAAAAGCTAAATTCTCAGATAAAGTGAACAAAAAAATTAATCTTCCTAAAGTCAGGAATGCCAGTTTAAAATTGCATTAACTGGCAAATAAGAATTCATACAACTAAAGACACAAAAATATCACTTAAGCATTACCAAAACAACATTGATCATTCAACTGATCGTAACAAGCAGATACTACAAAGTATCTAAAAATAATCTGGGATAGTCCAGATATCTAAAGTGCTTTGAGTGACTATACTAGAGATGTATTATTTATTAGACTTGTAGTCAAAAGATAAACTGGACATAATTATTACTTTTTATTAAAAAGAAAATCATATGTGGGATCATCTAAGTTGATCAGTACTTTCTTAACCACAATCTGCTC